GGACTTGTGTGAACATCTCATGATGTTTTAGGTCATACGGGCAGCACAGTGGCGCAACTGATAGAGCTGCTGCCTCTCAGCGAGCAGGTCCCTGGTTCAAATCCCACATGTTCTCTCTGTGCATGTGTGGGTTTTCTCCGGTTTCTTTCCCCACAGACCAAAAACATGCATGTTAGGGTGATAGGTACCTCTAAATTGTCCCTATGTGAGAATGAGAGAGTGAACGGTTGTTTGTCTCATTTGTCTCTATGTGGCCCTGTGATGGACTGGAGACCTATCCAGAGTGTACCCCGCGTCCCGCCCCTCACAGAGTGATTGCTGGACATGGTCCCCGGAGACCCCCATGACCCAAAATGTAAGAAGCGGGTAAAAGATAAAGGCTATATAAATATTTATATATATGTTAATCATGAATGTTGTATTCCTTACAACCTTGTGCATCTACCTACTGTACCTACTTTTTCAAGGTCAGTTTCCGGCAGAAGTTCTGTCTCTCCGTTCACACGATGACTGAACATGTTTTCAGTCTGATCCACACGTTAAATATCCGTTGACTGACCCGTCATTCCAGTCAGCAGCTCTTACAGTAAAACATGTGAACCATCAGAGAACGACCTGCTGTCAGTTAAAGATGAATGTCAGGCTTTACAGGTTTGCACAAGTTGTTTCATGAAAAGGGAAACATGTCAGTAATGTTAGTTTTAAAAAAAGTATTTTAAGATAAGATGCATCAACATTGACGAGATCATCCCTGAAAAAAAAAACCACACGATTCACAATTGTTACAAACTCAAAAAAATTATTTAAATATAATTGAGGTTTATTTTAAATATTTTTATTGATTTAGATTTCTCTTACGGTCACAGAAACAAAACAGCAAGGTTACCAATTTTTAAAAGTGTCATTAGTGTTGTTTCCAGAATGCAAAAACTAAAATTTAAAGAGGCAACAAATAAATAAATAAATATATGCCAGCATGCATATGAGACGGTTCAGATTTTTGACTGAAGACAGAATTTATGAGCATGAATGGGTTCCATATTCTGAGCTTCCATTTGAAAAAAATATCACATTTTTCATATAACAAAAACATAAAATATTATTTTACACGGCATAAAATAAACCATATCCACCAAAAAAAAAGGTAAAAAAAAAAAAACGTAAAACACATGAAAACGGGAACAAGTTACAAAAATAAACGCAAAAAAGATTGGGAAAAAAAACAAAAGAGTGGGATTTCTCGGAAACAATCTAAAAACTAGTTCTGCAAATTTTTCAGCCGGCAGTTCCTTCATTGGGAACATCAGTTTTTATTTGGAGCCTGACATTCACTCAACATTTTAATGTCTTCACTTCCTGACATTTTTTGAAACCCTTAAATTCTTAATCTGCATGTGTGCTTAACTTGTTTATGACATTATCAGCCTGATTTTATGGGGCAAACTAAACATCGTGTAATTTCACAGTTTTGTAGTAAAATACTTTCTCAGTTTTACCGTATTTTTCGGACTATAAGGCGCACTTAAAATCCTTTAATTTCCTCAAAAATCAACAGTTAGCCTTATAATCCAGTGCACTTTATGTATTAATTCTGGTTGTGCTTACTGACCTCAAATCTATTTTATGTGATACACGGTGCTCAAAAATCTGTCAAAATGCTTTAGTTTCGCTTAATGCACCTTATAATCCGGTGCGCCTTATAGGCCAAAAAATACGGTACCAGAAAACAGAAATTTCTCCCACCAAAGCCATTTTACTGAACAGGAAAACATTACAGCCAGTTTTTGAGGGAAACCACCAAATGTTTTTGCTCTGACACGCTGAATAATCAAAGTCCTATTTATCAATAACGTTACATAAAATACTCAGATTACTTTGTACATCAAAACAACTAACAGTTAAGTGGCCTCTATAATCTGGCTCAGAACTATTACATTTACCCATTTATGCACTTTGACTGGTTTAGCCTTCAAGACAAATTCAAAACAGACATTTTTTCCATCAGTGTGAATTTTACAAAAACATTTAATGTTGGTAAAAAAAAAAAAAAGAGGGTAAACAAACATAAAAACGGGAAGTTCAGGGAGGTGGATTTTCTGTTTTACAGTTAAAATAAACAACGCCATGTCTTCTCTGAACTACAGAACATCAGCTATTAAGTATAAATAATTTGATGCACTATTTTAAACTTTAAAATTAACACAACATGGAAGATATCCACTTGATCATAGATTTTTTTTTCTTCTCGCATCCTTTCAGCTGTTTACTACAAGAGACAGGAGATAAACACTAAGCACCGTGTGTGTAGTAATCCAAGTCCAGATTAAGTTGGAGGTTTTATGAATTCCAACTCAGAGGAGTTTTATCCTTGTGTCCAGGTGATAATTTTTTTAAACAATCAGTGGTCTGCAGAGTTTTAGTGTTCAGAATGGTAGTAATCGAGATACAAGGTGGCCCCAGAAGTACCGTATGTTGGACTTTACGAACAATACAAGAACAAAAACAAAACCCCAAATTCCATTAGCATTCAATTAAACTGAACCTCAACAAGTAAGAAGCAAATATGAAAAAAATCCTGAAGAAAAAGAAAATCCAGAAACAAACTAAAAATGTAACATTCACAGTTTTCTTGTCAGGTTTCCAATATTGTAAAACTCGGACCTGCCAATTCTGATTTTTCCTCAAAGAATTATATTTAGCAACTTTATTTCTAATGTCTTCTCTGATTGAACGCTTGACTTTGCTTAAAATAAAGTGTTGAAAAAAGTTTTACAATTTTATGTGGAAAAATAAAGTTTCCTGTTACTGGATATCTAAATATTTTCCTTCAACTCACTGAACAGAGGTATTGCTACAAATTAACTGGAAAATAAATACTATACGTTTCCTTTAAAAACTAGACTACTCATACGTTTCCCCCCTTTTTTTCCCTTTGGGACATTGGAAGTTGTGATATTGTTTGCAATTCATGTTTTGGATGATGACACTACAGTGGCTCTGCTAACATCCTTTACTGTATTGTCTTAAAATTATAACATCACCTAAACTTAATTCAAGCGTCTAATGGTTGTAATGTTTAAAACAAAAGCATTAAAAAACTGCTGCAAAACAACAATGGTTTTGTTGTTAATGTTTTATTTTGGCATCGATGTGAATATTGTTTAGGGTTGCTTAGTTCTAGAAAAACTTCTAACATGTAATGTTGTTTAATATTGTGATATTAATTGCGATAAATCCACATTTTCTCACTTTCTCTTGCGTCATTAATATCATCCAAACCAGGTGTGGGCATCAAGGTCAGTGAGTCTGGTAGATTAACTCAAAATACTATTAGCATGCAGAACATATAATCAATCTTCTGTCAAATTGAAATTGTGCTCACTGGTAAAGTTGCGATGTATTGTGTAGCCCTAATATGTTTCCTGTCTTAGGTGTTGATTCATGACACAAACATCCTGTCCCAGTAAAATCACTCTGTCACATTAACATTCCTGAAAATATTGTTTGTCATCGTCCTTTAAAAGTACTGCCAAGAAGCCAGCCCAATAAATTTTATTCAGCTGAGCTCATCGTGTCAACGTATCAAATTATTTTTAGTTTTGCAATGTCACCAGAACATTTGCATAAAGCAAACTCAGTCACAACGTCAAGGTAGCTTGATCACAAAACTAAACAAAAGAAGGAAATAAAGTAATCTGTTCTCTTTCTTGTATCTCCAGCTGGATTAGTTACACAATCAGATTGGTCTGTCTGCTGGACCTGTTTCTGGAGGGCAGTCTGGAACGCAGCTGCTGTGGTCCTTACTATCATCAAGCTGCTGACAGGACCTGCTAACGCTGCTAACAAGACCTGCTAACGCTGCTAACAAGACCACACCGCTAACAGTACCATGGTGCCAACGGGACCATGTTGCTAAGATAACCTCACTGTCATCAGAACCACTCTGCAAATAGGACCATGCTGCTGTAGATTTATTTCTTTTTCACTTTGGCACCTTGTTTTTGTATTTTTGTTGCATGCTTTGAATTTTATTCAAAGCTATGTTTAGGGGCTCCGAGCCCGACTCCGCTCGCCTTTAGCCTGTAAATTATAGCCAAACCGAACCTATGAGAATCGTGCTGCTATTGTTCGGTGTATTGTTTCGCACTATCAGTGACTAGTGTGTATCTTAGTTTATATCTTAGAGCCTTATTTACTGTTTCTTTTTACACTTTATATTTTTGCTATTGTTGGATGTAACTGGGTCCCAGGGTTACAGTTTCGTTCCACCTCATGTACCACGTGATGCGAATGCCAATAAAGAACCTTGAATCCTTGAAAAAACAAACAACAAAATCTGAACAAGAACTATCTCCGATATTAAAACATTATCACAAAGTGCTTATTGCAACACAAATGGTCAAATTTCTGCTAAACTGATTATTTCATTTTAAGAAAACACAAAAAATTGAGACTAAACAGAATTAGTGGCTGATTTTCCCAGCGATGTCAGACAAATTCAAATTGTGTGGCAACACTCATATCTTGTAAACCTACAGAGTTTGGCATCTATTAGCTAGAAATCCACACTTTAAATTTGATGCCAGAGTCTTTTTGTCCACCTGTCTTTAAACTCCTGTACCAACTCATGACTGAGGAGGCAGATCAGGTGAAGTCTCTTGGTGTTCATCAGTGATTCGTGTTTTGAATGTTATCAGTCTGCTCTGTTTTAGCTGGTATCCAGCTGAACTGAAATGGCTCCTGTGGAACTAGCAGGTCTATGTCAAGTCTCTTCTGCTCTTTTTCACTGTCAACAGTCCTGTAGCCGAGCAGTGTCATGGCTCCTTTACACACTTCCTGGACACGCTTGACCTTGCTGTATGGCAGCAGGGTGCGCCAAGCCTGGGAGACGTCAGCAGCATTCCTAGAAGTAATTTGAAAAGCCTCTGCTGCAGTGCCTTTCCCCTTTCCATGAGTCTTCTTGTAGATCCATTCGCCCATCTTTGTGGTCATCTCTAAACCTACAAACTCGTAAATGTCACTGACTTCCTTTAGTGGGTCTCGGGCCACATCTTCATAGCGAACCATTTTGTAACGTCCTTTTAGGAACGGAGGAGCTTTCAGGATGGCCCTCTCGTTGATGCGTACGTGGCTACGACAAATTTCCTGCAAGACTTTATACTCAACTTCTGCTGCAGGTATGTCTTCCTGCTCCAAGACTATAGAGCTATCTCTCAAAAATGCTTTGGGTGATGCCGCTCTAGAATTCATCACAGCCCGAGGGTCCCGGACCAGATGGATAATGCGGAGGTCCAGGCTGGGGTCTTTCAAAAGGGGGTAAAGAGACTCCAGCTCGAAAAAGCGCACTTCTTTTAATACCACATGACTGTATGTGCTACAAGCTGCTTCCACCTTCTCCAACCCCTGAGCATCACATTTCTGTAAGCACTGAGTCTCGTTGCTAAACTTGCCTCGTTGAGTGAGGGAACAAGCCGGAGGCGAGCACAGTGCTCGACTTTGAGTCCACATAAACAAGGAGGACACATTGTAGTTTTCTGGTAAATAGGGATCCATTACTGAGAAGTCACACTGGTACAGACTCCGCATTAAATCTCTCACAGTCATTCGTAGGAGCCTGGCACCAGGTTTCTCCACCTTGGACCACACATGCCAGGCGGGCTCCATTAGGTAGAAAACAGACGGGTGCTGACTGAAAACCTGTCCAAGGAAGGATGAACCAGATCGCCACGATGACAGCAGCAATACGTGAACTTTGCCTTGAGGAGAAGAAGACTCACAGGGACCGAGCTGAACATACCAGCTGCAGAACAGCATCACAGCTGCTCCCTGCAGGACCACCAGGAGTATTAAGGCGTTCAGATTAACTCTGTATCGAGGAATCATGGTGGTGGGTTCCTCTTCGCTTCGACTGGAGAATATCAACCTCTTTTTGTGCTTTATGGAGAAGAATACTGCCTCTTCTGGAAAAAGAACAAGACAACGAGAAGAAATGGAAATGTACACATTAGACTGGCATGCAACAAAACTCTGTGTTGTCATTTGGCAAAGTTTTTGTTTAGATTCATGATTCTCCAAGTTGTTAAAATGTGGGTGTTGACCCTGATGTGTTCATTACTATGTAGCTGACAAAACACTACATGTCTAGATTAATCAAAAGTTTAGCAATGTAGCATGAAGGGACCCCTTCTTTCATGACTCTTCTTCTTTTAAAACTGAAAGAAAAAAAAACATGAAGTTTGTTCTTTCAACTGGCATCTTTAAAATGAGCTACAGATAAAAGCATTTCACTTGTGCACCATGTGAACATCTACAATGACTACAAGTAAGACCCATTGGTTTGGGCACCTGCAATGCAAAAAGTGCTGATGGAATCACAGAACTGAAAGCTAAAAATGAAATTTGGTGTTGTTACATGTGTGATGGTGATCTAAAATAACCAGATTTTCCTCAAAATCAAAATGTTTTTCAATCGCAACAAAACAGAAAATATTAAAATAACTGTTGACAGCAGCTCAAAACAGGATTAACTAATGAATGTTGATAACAACTTGTTTTACGATCAATTGATATCATAAAAACTAGCTTAAAGTTGTTTAAATCTATCATCTAGATAGCACACCTTATCTATCCTGGGATCAATCCGGTTGCGTTATGTACATGCACTTCAGTGTCTTTGCATAACCGTGCAACAAATCTGGAAAATCCCAACACTGTTACATATGATTTTTTTTCTCCAAACAACATACCGTTAAATTTGAATTAGTATCTCTGTTTGCTTTCCTCACTTTTTCCTTTCCCGGTACCATAAAATGTGTCATTGTCACTTCTCTGTTGAGTTTTTTCCCCTCTCGCAGCTGTCCCTGAACGCAGCATTTATACTTTTTTTTTTTGGAATAATTAAATATAATTTAAAATCCAATGAAATCAATGCAACTATATGTATTCTTACAAAGTATTGTGTTGCTGATATTTGGCTGGGACTCTGTAAAAAAATTCCAGATCAGGTGGAAACCTTTTAAAACCATGTTAGTGTGAATGACAGGAGAACAAACAGGAACCGTCACTTACAGTAACTGTAACTGGGCACAGATCTTAACCACAGGGAAATAATCCAAGAAATAGGTGGTTTTGCATGCAATGTTTTAATTTCTAGTAAGTGAAAACAGCAAGCAGTTTTCATTCAAAACCCAGGACATATGGAACACTTTATATTTGTTCATTTCAAATACCAACATGGGTCTTACTGAGCACTAAACAAGAAAACATTAAAAACTTGTAAGCTTTCAGATGAAACTAATGCATTAATTTGCAACATTTACCTGCTTGTCGTTTATGTTTAGAAACATTTACACGTTTTGTAAAATGCTCCTTCTGGCATCCTCACGTCTCTATAAAATTTATTTTCTTTATTTAATTGACTGTTTATAATCACGTTTTTGGGTTTAATGTCATTTTGTAACAATGTTCAGAGTCCATAACGACGGCTTGAGTCCCATCTGTTACGTTCTGATGGATATTTGGTTACTGGTTACCAGATGAAATACCTGCACGATGCTCCGGTGACCAGGTCATCCAGAACGGAGCTGCTCGTTGCCTTTCAGCTTATCGGTGTGCTCCTCGCATAAAATTTGTGTTCATAGACTTAAATACAAGAGGCTGAAGCATGTGTTCAGCTCTAGTCTGAATGAAGAGAACTGAATTATTTATTCCAAAGTCATGATGGAATTTAAAACATTTAAAAAAAGTTCACTAGCATGAACACAGAGCTTTCTGTTCAGTGATTACCTCGCATATTTTTTGTGAGGCAGGGCTGGATACGTGTTTGTGAAAGTCTGTAAGGCAAACTGAATAATAAAGGCAGCATTGTAGCACCTGAATAAAGTTGTTGTGTTTCAGTTTGTCAGCTACAACAGCGCACCCTCAGGCGAGATTTGAACTATGATTTGTTGGCTGTTTATTTTATTCACATTTTTCACAAATGTGATGTATTTTATTTAAGGAGGCTTTGACAAAAGATACGTCAACATAAATACAAACATATGAAATTAAAAAGGTACTAACTGCAAGGTCATAAAGACCTGTCAAAAATAAAAAATATATAAAGAAAAAACTAAATCTGCACAGTTTTTTTCAAAAACACAAAGGGACTTGTTTGACTCTGCCATATTTGTTTACCAACACACACTAAGGCAGCTTTAATGACGGTCATGTGACTTCTACGTGGTTTTTGGCAGATGCCACTCTGTGTTTTGTTTACATTGAGTGCATACCCACATTTCTGAACTGCATATAAACATAAATGGAAAACTGCTGGAGTAAACTCAAATTGCACAATTTGATGTAGTTCAGAACAGCCTTCATTATGTTTTATTTTATAGTTAGTGCCTTTAAATATTAATTCATCACATTTATACAATAAATGTAACACTTATTTATTATTACGTCTATTTTTTTATACTTTATGCTGAAAAGGGTAAAGTTTTTTGTCTAAACGCTCTGTATTAATTATCCTGCTTATAGAAAAATACTATTTTATGACAGCTAATCTGTTATTTCTCTCAGTTTTTGAAGGCGAAAGAAATACCAGATTTATCATAACATCAATCTGGATACCCAACAAGTGGGCCCTGAGCACAAGACTTTCTAATTGAGAGAAAAATGTTTGATGCAATTTCAGAACATTTATCCAGTCAGAATAAAAAAAGAAGCCATTTCCAGCTTGGATGTCAGAGTAAATATGTTTGACATTAGGTAATTACTGGCTAATTAAGATTTGACAGAACACACCATACTGAATGGCCAGTGTGCCAGATGGAAGGGCACAAAAACACCAAATATTATTTATGCAGACTCAAGATCATTCTTTCAACGCCTAAAACAACTGCAGCTGAGGCTTGTCTGAGTCATGTTCCTGTTATCAATAAAGAGTCGAAAAGTATGTAGAAAGAGAAAAGGAAATAAAAAAGTCCCTCTTCTTTTCAGAAAAGTGACAGAGTAAGTGTTTTATCAGAGAACGGCAATTAAGTCTGTCAAAGTAATAAATATCAATAACAATCAGAAGTCCAACTACACCTTGGAGTTTAAGTGACTTTTGCGATAAGTGATTTGTGATTAAATATCAATACTAGGTTTGATGAAATGGATTCTGATCCGATCAGCTTATCAGAATCAGAATCAGAATAAACTTTATTGGAATTGCACCGAGGTACAACGCGAATATGTACGTACAGTCGTCGTTATTTAAATATTAATTATTATTATCTTATTACTGTTTTTCTTTACAATGTATATTTTTGTTGGATGCAACTGGGACCCTGTGTACACAATTTCGTTCCACCATATGTACCACATATGATGTGAATGACAATAAAGAAACCTTGACCTTAATGGTGATATTGGGTTTTATGATTAATAGGCTAACATGGTATGGTAGGTGAGCAGAGGCCCTGAAAGGTACCAATCTGATACGGTTGCAACTAAACAAGCTGGACAATACAGACATGCACAATTATGTATTCATGAGTTGTTTTATTTTTTGTTTTTAACTTTAAGTTGCTCTGAGACTCTCTTTGGCACGTTTACAAGCATCTCTGAAAGACGTCTGGGAGACATTAATGGAAAATGAGTCATGTCGGAATGACCAAATGGCATCACTTTAACAGTTATTAAAGTCAACATTACACAACTCGTGTCTGAAAAACCAGGAGGAAATAATCCTTTTAATTTCCTTACTTTTTAACAGAAACATGTGTTCAAAATACAAAATGTTCAATATACAAATCACCTGAACGTACCCCTAAAATAAGAGGGCCTGCACTTAGTACTTCAGCTTGGTTTGAAAAACTGTGGTATTGGTGCAGCACCATTGTCTTTACAAGAGGTCACAGACTTGTTGATCAAATGGTCATCGTTCTCTGATTTATCGGAGCTCATTTTTACACATTTGTCTTAGAAACAGCTAAACTAAAACTCCACAAGCTCTATGATTGATGTGCACAGGTTCATTAGGGCTGCTGGTCACCTCAGATATTTGTAATACCTCTTAGTCTTTCTGTCCAGGGTTTATTATCACCAGTGGCAGACCATTCATAAGGGCAGGTGGGGCAGAGCCCCGCATAAAAAAAAATAAATAAAAAAAAACATTGGCCACAAAATAAGTTCCTCCTAATAAATTATGTAAATGACTTGTTTACTGAGCTTGCTGTATATTTTGTTCTGTGTATTTTTCAACTATTTAGACAATTTTAAGTGTCATTTATATTGTTTTTTAGTGATTCATCCTCATTTTTTTTTTTACTTATTTATCGTTATAGCGCAGTACCATTCAACAACCCACGTTCTTCAAGCGGATGCGAACGTGCCACCAGTGATCCAAACAGGCAGGTCCAATAGTTTCATTTGGGGCGTCTGATTTTCTGCCCCGTGGACACATTCAGCTGGTTTTAGCATATTGATACCTCTACCTAGACCTGACAAGAGCTCAAACCCAGAAATAGCTGCAGCGAAACCTGCTGAGACCAGCAGTGGAGATATTCTATTTTTAAAATCTATTTGGAGAAGACAGAACAGAGGAAAGTCAAGAAACAGGAAATTTTTGCTAACATGGTAGGACATTACCTAAACAATTCTGTGGCCTAAATAACTTTAAAGAGTCAACCCATTGTAAGATGGTCACCACAACCAAGTGACCTTAAAAACACAAGTGGTTATAGCTTAACGCATTTTACAGATACTGAGCAAAAATCTGATGTGGTAGTAGCTGAGAGTCATTCACAGCATATACTCAAAGCGCCAACACTACATGAAAAATATTGCATTATTGCATGAGGTTATGCATAATGTTGCTATAAGGTTTAACCAAAATACTCAAATATTTCTCAGCATATCTTGAGCTCAGTCTAAATCTCTGGCATGAAAGACAGCGGTCAATATGCATTTCTTCAAAAAAATTCCATGCTATAAATGTACAACAATTGTGTTTATACACAATTCACGTATTTTAATATTTAAAAAGTATGACCTATGATCTGACTAGACAACTGACTTTTAAAAGTGAAAACAAACTTTCGTTAAACACCACATTTTTCTATAAATACACTCTTTTTTGTATGTTTCAATTTGATACTTCATATTAAATATTTTTTATTAGTCAGTCATAGTACAAACACAACAGTGGAGGGGCATAAACCCAAGTAAAAAAAAAAAGGTAAATGTGACAGTTTTTAGTTTTTTTTACCTGACATTATTTGCAAATTTCTTCCAAAGAACAGAAATATACTACCCAATTAAACCCTGCTTTTACCTCTAGCCTACATCTACAAAAATCTGGCCTCAATTCAAATGTTTCTAAGGATATGAAAAAGTAAACTTATTTTTTAAGTAATATGTAGATACACGTCTTTACTTCCACATTATCCCAAGTTTTTGCTAAATGTGTGATTAGTTCACATATTCTAGACTTTAAAAAAACAATATTTTTATATCCTAGTAAAATGGCAAACCTTCAAAATAAAGTTATTTTATTGGAAACTTTAGTTTAGTTCTTACATTTCAGGAAAAAATTAATAGATTTTCATAATTCCCTTTTTTCTCCAGCTCTAGCAAGTCAGAGCACTATCATAGTTTTCCTTTATCACCTTAAGTTTCAATATTATTTCATTTAATTAGTTTTATGAAGTCCAAAACTAATACAATGCATTTGATTTCTTTAAGCTTCTTGCATTTATTGTGAGATTTTGTGAATTTAAGTGTGTGCATAAAGTATAAAACTTCAAATTACCACCTTTAATTATAAGCTGGTCATAACTTAATCTATGAATAGTTAATTACTTCCAACTTCTACCAATGTAGCAGAACATTCCTTAGACAAAATAAAAACCGCTGCAAAAATGCTCTTCTAATAAGGTCACAGAATTTGCGGGGTGACAAAGTTGGGTACGACACCCTTGTTAGCTCCACACGCCGGACATCCCTTAAATCTGATAAAATTGGACTTAAGAAGCGCCGTGTCCTTTTCTATGGGATGAAATATTAACAATAATAAACAATGTGTTTCCTTTAAGTCCATTTCTGTGTGAGACATCCAGAATTTCGAAGGCTTAAAAGTTCGTAGCTAAGCTAAAAAAAAAAAAAAAAAAATAGTCCCGAGTTAAACGGGGTAAATCGAGTCCAGTGGGCAGTTAACTTGTTTTATTTCTCTTCTTTTGACATATAATAATCAGAAACGTGTACCTTTAACTTGCCTAACGGTGCTGCCTTCCCTCGGTGTCGGTGCGCAGTGTCCCCGCTGGCTGCTGCGCCCCCGCGGTGTAACCCTCCGCTCCGCGCCGCCTTCGGCTCACAGCTCCGGAGCTCCGAGACGTGTCCAGGAGGATTCACGGCTGTGGGTGAACTGGTGGTGGTAGGCAGGTCAGAGGCCGGTGGGTGGAGTTCAAACGAGCAGTGGGCGGGACCAAACGCGTCTGTGGTCTCATCCAGTGCACACAGGTGTTGCGAGAAAACCTGTAGTCTGCTGAGTCAGAGCTCCTAATCACAAATTAATCTTGTATAGGTCCAGAACATTAATGCACATTTATGTTACTAATATATTTCAGACATTTTAATGCATTGTTGTACAATTCTTGTCTTATGTAGGAATCTAGCAGTTCAACAGTCCTGGATCAAATGGTTTATGGTGAGAGGTCTGCTGCAGGTAGGTCAGTTCACCGGGACTCGTTGCTGGTCGCAGCAGTTTAGCACTGTCTTGCTGGAATATGTAAGGGTTTCCCTGAAACGGACATCTGTATGTTGTTCTAAATCATGTGTTTTATGTTCTGCAGATGTGTAAGATGTCCATGCCAAAGGCACAAATGCACCCCCATACCATCAGAGAGGCAGGCTTTTCAAACTGTGTGCCAATAACTGGCTGGATGATCCCGCTTTAGTATGAAGGACACAACAGCTGTGGTTTCCAAAAAGAACAAATCTCATCGGATTTAAATGTTATATTTAAAGTTTAGATTGTGAAGAAGGTTCTCCTGTGAAGTATGCCTGAGCTGTAGAGCTCCAGAAAGGGCTGTGCTTGCTCACCTGTTTTGACAAAATCATGTTATATTTATTTTGGGATGATAGCAGGTTTTCGACATTTGTTTTGTGCAATGCACTTCTGCCAAAAGTCATAGCACAGTATTCCCAATCAAAGCTCATATATATATTTTTCATCCATCCATGTTAATGCAAATTGTAACTAAAGACATTATAAATGAGTACAAGACTTGGTACAGATACCAGACTGGACCAGTGCAGGACTGGTCACGTGGTTCTTGCTGTGTAAAGCAATACAGGATTGAAAGAAAAGGATGCACCTGGTTCCTGTGTGATACGGACTCATATCCTGTTTGATTCTCAGCATCCATATTCAAAGCTTTCTGGCCTGTTTTAAAAGGAAACAGCTGGGGCGACTTTACCCTCAAGCACAGATCTGGAATTAGTTTGAAACAGTGTTGTGTAAAAACAACGAAGAAACCAATGCTCTGTCATTGAGCTTGAGTTTTGGTCTTGAACTTTTTTGAGTCAATAGATACTCTGTGTGATGGCACCAACTTCAGGCATATTGCTTTTTATTGCCTCTGTAAAACTAAAACTGCAGTTGGGCTTAACCTATAAAATTTTGTACAGAAGTTTTACAGTAAAGAAATTAAACCTTGCAGATTGAGGTCAACTTCAGTGCCAGTAGTGGCAGTAATACTAATAACAATAATAACAACTTTTATTATACCAGGTAATTGAGAACCGGTTCTAATTTATAATGACGAACTGGTTCAAAAGGCAGCAACTCAAGTACACAAAACAGTAATGATAAAAGCAAAAGACACAACACAACTGGCATAAGTTAACGCCTTTAATACATACTACTGTGTACTCTATTAAAAGAAAGGAAGCAAAGCATTGTGAAAATACGAACAGTGACAGGCATAGTAAAACTTAAAGCAAGTACTGTACAATGATCTTGTACATGTACTGAACTTCTAAAAGAGGAGAGCAAAATAAAGTGAGCTTTAAGATCTGTTGCAGATGGCTCATCTATAACAGCGGACCGGAAAGAGGAGCGACCAAAGGAGGTACTGTACAAACTTTAGGTTACTAGAACACAAACTGTCATTTGCTTTGTGGATAGTAAGAAGTAGGTAACAATTTTTCTATTGAGGGTTTTGTAAATAAACAAACCGATAAATTTTTCTGCGAGAATGAAGCGATGGCCAGTTTATCGGTTTATTACAGATCATGGTGGTGTGTATTAAATGAAGCTCCAGTACAAACCGGATACATTTTATACTTTTATTGGATGTAACTGGGAGCCTGTGTACACAATTTCGTTCCACCACATGTGCCACATGTGGTGCATATGACAAATAAAGAACCTTGAATTGCAGCGTGATCCAGTCTGTGAAGGAGTTTCTGAGGCAGACCTGTGCATCGCTATAATCCAGGACTGGAAGCGCCGTCATTTTAAGAAGCTGTTTGGCAGAGTGTGTGAAAGATGTATTTATTGCAGGATTTGACCTTTGAGATTTTCTTTGATGAAAGACTTCTGTAACATCATGCATCCACTCATCCATTGAGCTTTTTCTTTCTGGGTTGCGAGGAGCTGGTGCCGATCTCCAGGCCTCCCTGTGTGAAAGGTGTGGGATGACCTGGACCGGTCGCAAATCCTTCACAAGTGTACAGAGAGTCAAACAAGGTAAACAGACCTACACTATCACTCACACCAAGAGACAAATTAGTTACCAATTAACCCAGTATGCATGCATTTGGTTTGCAGAAGGAAACTGGAGCACCCGGAGAAAACTCATGCATGCACGGGGAGAACATGTAGACTTCACACAAAAAGACCCAGGTCCAGCTTCAAACCATCTGGAGAAGCATCATCCTTTATCAGCCCCACTTTATAAAACTTCCATCTGACGTATACGGCTTCCGAGTTTGTTCGGTTGAGTTTTTATGGCTTGTTTTACTTTGGTCTGTCTTGGGTCTCTGGGTTAAAGTTCCTCCCTCTCATCTTTTTGGTTCTGTTAGAACTTGTCTTGATTTCTTTTGATTTTGTTTAATCCATCCATTATCTTTACCCGCTTCTTCCTTTATGGGTTGCGGAGGTCAACTCAGTCAGTCTTTCCCTCATTTGCATATTGTGTTTTACTTTAGAGTTGTTTTTTCTTCTTTCTGGACTTTAGTTCACATCTGGTTTCTATCACCAATCATCTCACCTGTCCACATTAGTTCTCTGCTCCTCAGTATATTTAATTGTTTTCTTGACATGCTTTATGTTTTTGTGCTTTGGTTATGACGGTATTGTATTAAGACGTTTAGATCCTGGACTTGCCATCAAGCTTGATTTTGACTCCTCCTATGCAACAACACCCTGTGACCTGAAATACTAAGATGCAAATGAGAAATACTTTTGATAAAGCAAATGCTTCGACTCATTAAGGCTCTCTAAAGGTAACAGAGTACTCTCTTTCAGGTGCAGTCCAGGAAGTTTTTAACATCCAAGTGGGTGGTGAAGGTTATACACCATGTCAACAAGTTCTACATTTTTTGGCCAGCCACCAAATGTCCTTGAGACATTCCTTAAACTCATTCGACCTATATTCTATTGAGATTTTGTGGGCTTTCAAAATAAGATTTGTAGACAAAAAAAAAAGAGCATGCCTCTTTGAAAAGCATTTTAAAGGATGATTTTGATGGATGTGGTTGATACCATAACTCCAAAGATTCACATACATATAGATGTACAAGGAAGAAGTTTAAAAAAAATAAAATAAAAAATAACATTCACTTTTTCAGGAGGAATTCATTTTAACATGAAATGTAAGTCAAACAGAACGATCAGACATAAAAACACCAACATTCATATTTTAAGGGTTACTGGGTGTAACTCGTCAAACTTTCTGGTACACATAAGGAGTGAGACATTTCAATGATCTAATTCTGTGGTTCTAGGCCAGATGAACACACCCATCAAAAACAAAATGGAATTTGCATATTTCCAAAAGTCACATGTATTCCCTCCCACTGACTCACTGGTACAGTGAGGATGATCAAACCTCGATCAAAAGAACAATTTGTGGTTTTTAAACCGCAGAATTGTTTTTCTTGAATTTTCACAGTTAAATTTTTGCCTAATCCTAAACCAATTTTATGTTTATTTTATTTTAAACTCATATTGACACAATAAATAGTATTTTTAAAAGCAAAGATACTTTTTTTTAATGACTGGAGGAAAAAGTGGGCACTGGTAGCGTTACATTGTAACCAGGCTAAAAGAATTATGCAATTATAAGTCAATTAATGGGGAAAAGTTGCAAATCTATCAATTAAATAAACAACACAATAAAATATGCAAAGGTTAATATAGTCATAAAAGTAAACAAAGAGCAAGTGGGTGTTATTTACAAAAATACTTTTAGGTTTAAATCATTTTTATTTCTATAACTTTGAATTTTGCTTTAAAAGTGACTCATCCAAGGTGAAAATTAACCTTTTGCTAAATGTATTTAAATACAAAAATACTCATAACATGTAAACAGTACTGGTTAAATAAACCAATAAACTAAACCAAACTTATAGACTTACCCTATAATTTAGCTGTTATTTTAAAATGACTCATTCTCGACAAAGCGTGATTGACAGATGCTAAAAAAATAACTGACATGGTTATAAGGAGAACACACAAAGCTAAAATATCAAAATTATATCAGTTTTTTTATTTACTTTATCACACAACATGTACTATACAAATAACAAAAATATAGAAAATGCATTCTTTTTTTTTACAATTCAGTTGCTAGAAAAACAGCCGTAAAAAAGTAGAACTAGAAAACTAAGAGCTAAAACTTCACTTTGCTGGTGATAGTTCTGCTGCAGAAAATAAGTATACAGTTTGAGATTATAATGCAGAAAGTCCAGATGTTTTAGATAATAAAATATGGACTTTTTAGTAGATTATCTAAAAAGATTAATTTTTACGATAAACGACTTACTGAAAATTGATTTTGAGCAAAAACAGGTGAGAAATGATGATGTTTGTTTGTGTGATTCCTGTATTGACCTTCCAGGTGCATAAATGTGCAACAAACTTATCTTTTATGATGTATTGTTGTCTTTACAGTAAATAGTGTTTGTGATGAACTTCACTAGGACTACAGACTTTTATCAGCATGCGTCTGCAGTTAAATAAATATCACAGAAGGTTTTTATATCAGTGTTTGTCTTGAGCCCAGACTGAACAATCAGTTCCTTTTTCAGCACTGGTCTCAGATGGTTTTACTGGTGTAGTGGGGCTCTCAGGTCAGAACATGCTGGTATTTTTATTCGTTACATTTCACTTTAACAATATGTTCCCCAGGTCGTAAAATATAACATGACTCAACCTAAAAGATCAACAAATTCAGTTTGAGTTCATCATGCAGAACATTATCAACATGGCGTTAAAAGACAAACACTGTATATGAGGAGCAAATTGACAAAAGGTGTAGGCTTCATCTAGTCAAAACCTAAACGTAAAAGAACATCAGGACAAGTGAGGTTTTCCAACAGGTATGGGTACGGTTGTTAGAACCTGGTTCTGGAAAACAAATCTCTGGATGCGTTCAAAGACCCACAGGAAGATAAGGAGGATGCTGACGTACTGTATCCAGGCAAACTTAATAGTTTCCCAGAAGCCGGGGCGATAAGTGGAGGGAGACGGTTAAGGCTGAAATGTTCAAGAAGATGTTTATTACAGTTATTGTTTATGAGCTTTATTAGAATCTAACCACAATTATAGTAACTCTACGTGAGCCACAGTCCAATGAAGCGTTTATTGGGAAACATTTTCTGAAATTAGTCATTTTTCCTGCATCAAATCCATAAATAAATTAGAGGTGTTTAAAGGGAAGACTTCATTAAATATCAGAAATTTTACATATTTTTGGAGACTGCCTTTTAAAAGCATAGACAACAATGACTTTGTCGCCTCCAGTGCTTTTTAATGGTGGCACCTAGTCCTATCCAATGCTAAACAAGTTTCTAAATAAATAAAATATATTTTCATCCATCCATAAACTTTAATGTGGCCCAAACGAAAAAGTTCACCCACACAAAATGTGCATCAAAACAAGCGGTTTGGTCGACGTGTGCTTTTACTTTTTTGGGCGTTTCGAGTTACCAAGGTGATGTGATTCACCAAAAGTAACCCCTAAATCTGCAGGATTACAACGAGAATGTTTTAAATCTAGTTTAAATTGTTTTCTTTTTGAAATATGAACGTGCTTTGTGTTGTCGTCACTGTATGTGCCCATATAATGATAGAATTTGTTCTCTGAGAAATACTCAGTTGGAGCAGCAGGTAGCAGCTAGTCTTCCTCAAGAACATCCCGACATATAGGCATGGCAGGGAATTGAACTTGTGACTGTCCAGTTGCAAGTCGGCTGCTCTACCACTGCTCCACTGCTGTCCATATCTCGTGAAATACTGGATGGAAATTATTGAAACTCTCATAATGTAATAACTGGAGGCTCCTCTAATACTAATTAGTCATTTTGTATCAACTAGATTTAAAATGACCACAGCTAACTTAACTAACTCAAAAATGGCTATAACACAGTAATTTTTAGAGATATTGAGCTACAACTTGGTGAAGTAAGTGGACGATGGTGATCCCTAATATGACACAATTCAGCATCGTATTAAATAAATATGTGTGTGTATATTTTGTGTTTACACACAGACAAACTCCTGTCCTGCATATGTTAAAGGATATCTGATGACCTCCATCGGGTAACGGATTTCAGCATTCAGCTCAAAGGGAGAACCAGAAGCTCGTCCCACTGTCCAGACTGGCATCGGACAGGACAGGACTGTTGTTACTAACACAGAAAAAAAGGAAATTATATTAAATATAATTCACAATCCAGTACAATAAACACATAAACAAAACAAGTTAATGTGTCAGCTTACGGTTTCTCTCCTGGTAACTCCTGATAATGTTGTTGAGGTCGTACGTACTCGCGAAGGGGCTGGAGCCATCGATCACAGACACCTGGTTATCAAAACAAGAAACTATATAAAACTTTAACTCTTTTCAGATACTGTAGTTCTGTATTTGTATTGTGATGATAATGAGAGCCAGACAGAAGATGTTAAACAGAACTGATTGTGGGCAAGTTTATACAAAAACTTAGTCTTTTATTTGGTCAAGTTTTATGATCTCAGGTACAACACAGAGACAAAACATGGGTACCTTCACCACCATTGGATGAGCAGACATACAGTATGTTAACTTCTCTAAAATGTATTATTATCTTATATTTGTCTACACGATTGCGTCCTTCTCCTACATGTTTTTTTAATTCCGTCTCACATTTTATCTCCTCTCAGTCATAAATTTCTGGTGAATTCTGTCTAGTCTGTTATATTCGGCTCCTGCTTTGCCTGTGTAAAGTGGATAACAAAATACCTCGGTTGTTGTGCTGAAATTTGCATGTACAAATAAAAAAGGAGTGGCACAATGTGTTCTCACATTGTAAACGTTGTACAATCCCCGGTGAGGCAGAGGAGTCTTCTGCTGCAGTCTCAGGTCTCCACTAATGAACAGCTTGGCTCCAGGAACAGGAGAGGAGTGCTGCACAAAAGCCAGGCTCTGCATCACTACTGTGGACATCCGCTGGCAAAAGAAAAGCTCCTCTTTAGCTGAAATGGTCACTGTAGCAGCGATGTTTGACTTGATTTAAGATGCAAATGTCAATGATAAACATAAGACAAAGAAAATGGCAACTGGAGGAATACATACAAAGAGCTGGTAGCTGAAGGTGAGCAGCAGCTGAACGCTGTAAACTTGTTCATCAGGTTTCAGAGGAAGCTGCAGCTGGAAGATCAACAGGTCCAACTTCCCATCCATGTTCAGATCCTCTTCTCTCACCTGTAGAGTGTGTTCACGGAAAAAATTAACAATTTAGGTTATCATATGGTCATAGTGATCATAGTGCTCATAAAGAGAACAGTTGCAGTATGTACATCTGAGCATGACCAAATTAACATCCTCCTTGATATAATTTTGGAGAATCCCTACTTTATGTTTCTGCTTTCCCAAGCATTTTGCAATAAACTTGTCTTTTATTTCTGTGCATTTGTTTTTTCTTACTCTGCAGATCGTTTGATGGTTTAATTCGTTTAATCGTTGTTTAATTTCTACAGGGTGAGAAGCTCGATCATCCGGGAGGGACTCAGAGTAGAGCCGCTGCTTCTCCACGTCGAGAGGAGCCAGTTGAGGTGGCTTGGGCATCTGTTTAGGATGCCTTCTGGACGCCACCCTGGTGAGGTGTTCCGGACATGTCCCACCGGAAGGAGGCCCAGAGGAAGACCCAGGAAACGCTGGAGGGACTATGTTTCTCGGCTGGCCTGGGAACGCCTCGGGATTCCCCCGGAAGAGCTGGCCCAACTGCCTACTTAGGCTGCTACCCCCGCGACCCGACCCCGGATAAGCGGGAGAAAATGGATGGATGGATGGATAATTTCTACCAGAAATTATGCAGTCGAGATTCCCACATTTGGGGAATTTGCAGGGGTCAGCAAAACCGGAGTGCACTGACTGAGCCTCACCCTGAGTGAACCACCTTCATGATCATGGTATCTCCCTGCCAGGTAAGTATTTTTTTAATCCATCCAGAGGACCTGACTTAACTTTGTTTGAGTCCTTGAACCTTCTACAGTTTTAAGGGAAATGCATGTAATGTTTTCTTACTGAGACAGTAGGGATCCGTAAGTTAGCTCCGAGCATGTTGTTAAGGTGAGGGAATGTGCCCCAGGCGACATAATGTCCTTGAGTATCAGTCGCTGCCACCAGCAGAGTCTGGTACTGGAATCTCACAACTGGCTGTTCTTCATAAGTGCTTTGTTTAATCCAGAAACCTGAAACAAAAGTAACTGAAGTCAGCGAACATGCATGTTGACTCATTAAAACGGAGTGTGCTAAAAATAAGGAGTTATTAAATTAATTCATTTTTGTGAAAAAGCAAAATACCTGGTGTCAACTCATGAATATTTATTGTAAGATATTGTTAAAGTTTACTTGCACATTTTATTTTCAACTAACAGACAACATTTGAACATTTATTTGAGGTCGTGGGAATAATGATCACACTATGTCAATATTTTTCAACATTTTACGCACTGAAACAAGCCAGTCCGTGCCAACATTAAATACTTATCAGCTGGATTTTTGATTTCTGTAGCTGCAGAATTGCAGGATTTCTCCAACACAATTTAGTTAAAGCTTTCTGTTTTATAAGATAATGACTTAATTATTATTAGACTTATTTTTACACAATGTTCACAAACATAAGTCCCATCAGCACTCACAATATTTAATTTAAAAAATATTCCTGTAACATATTTTACACATAGCGTTTAAGTATAGAAAGAACAATTTGGGTATAAAAAAAAATCCCAAGTATTTTACTCTCTGATAGGTATAATTTTGGATTTGTCTGAAGTTATTTTAATTTTATTTAGTGTAAAATTTGGGGGTAAAATGCTTTCATGTGTGTTTCTGTTTGACAACAGTTTAAAAGTCATTTAATAAAAGTGGCCTTGAGATAAAGCAGGAATGTTTAAGTACTATGTAACATGTGTGAAGTTTCTTATTCAGAGCCAGAAACATTGATTTGGTGTTTTAGTGTTGATACTAACCTTGGCTCCTGTAAGCAACCAGCAGAGGTGCGATGTATGTAAGGCATAAAACAACAACCAGGAACAGAGTGGCCTTTGTACACACACTCGTTTTGTACCGAATCTCAGCCGGGTGAGAGTACACTTCGTAAAAGGCCATAAGTAAAGACGAAAAGAGCGGCTATTAGCTTAGTGCTAACGCTAACAAAAAAAAGGTAAGTGAAATTTCGCAGACACACAAAGGAGCAGCGCAAACAAGAAATAGCCTCTAAGTTATGTGATGTCCATCTAAATGCTTACGGCGCAATAAAATCACCCCCCAATGCGAACAAGTTACGTTTTACGATGCTACTTTTGTTAGCTTCTGTGATTAGAGGAGCGTTAGCTCCAGCGCCATGTTCAGCGTCTCGCGGTTACCATGACAACCGATGTTGGATTTCAGGCTGCGTTCAATGTCCGTTCAGCAAGGAACTGAGATCCCTACCAGTTTATCTCCGTTGTTTGTGTCTCTTTGCAAATCTTTTACCATACCATACCATACCAATTTATTTATATAGCACTTAAAACAGCAACAAGGCCAACCAAAGTGCTGTACAAAAGAACACAAACATGCACAGCGGACAGGAAAACATAAAATAGAAATACAGATACAAATAGCAGCAGAAGCTAACTAAAATGGCCAACAGAGTAGAGAACAGACCGGACCAAAACAAATCACACCGTGTTAAAGGCAAGCGAATAGAAGTGGGTCTTCAAGCGAGACTTAAAGACTGAGAGTGTGGGAGCCTGCCGGACACTCAGTGGCAACTCATTCCACAGTCGTGGACCTGCAACAGAGAAAGCCCTGTCACCTCTGAGCTTACGACGGTTTTCTGGGACTGAGAGAAGCATCTGGTCTGCTGACCTCAGAGAGCGCGGTGGGACATATGGCTGCAGAAGATCAGTGAGATAGGATGGGGCGGAACTGTTCAGTGATTTAAAAACATACATGAGAATTTTGAAATGGATCCGAAGGTGAATGGGTAGCCAGTGCAGGGAGGCCAAAACTGGCGTGATGTGCTCTCTATAGCCTGTACCAGTTAAAAATCGGGCTGCAGCATTTTGGACCAGTTGTAGACGAGCAATGGAGGACTGACTGATTCCAAACAGAAGTGAATTGCAGTAATCAAGCCTAGATGTTATGAAGGCGTGGATCACTGTCTCGAGGTTCTTTTTGTTGAGTATAGGCTTCAGCTTAGACAGCCGTCTCAGCTGAAAAAAACAGGATTTGACCATCATGTTTACGTGACTGTTGAGTTTTAAGGACGGGTCCATTATCACCCCCAGATTAGTCACCTTTTGTTTCTCTAGCGGGGCTAGAGAGAATAGGTCAATGTCATAGTTCATGAGTGAGCCACTGGGATGGAACAGCATGACTTCAGACTTCTTCTCATTGAAGCTTAAGAAGTTTAAAGCCATCCAGTCCCGGATGTCAGCCAGGCAGTCAAGAAGAGGCTGAATAGAGCGTGTGCCTCTGTGCCTCAGGGGGAAGTAAATTTGGCAATCATCGGCATAGAAATGAAAGGGTATGTCGTGTTTGCGGAAGATAGCACCTAGTGGCAGCAGGTATAAAGAAAAGAGAAGGGGACCGAGGATGGACCCCTGCGGTACCCCCCACTGGAGTGCGGTCGATGCCGAACTAAAATATTTGATATTGACACAGAAGGTTCTGTCAGAGAGTCAATAATCGGTAAATTATATAATAATCGGTCAATAAACAGAAGTCCCTGAAATTCAGTACTTTTTGCCCAAAGTTTCAAATTTCGATGTAATTAGTGTCTTTGTGGTTCTTTTTCTATAGTATTGAGCCATGCATCTGTGGAGAGATACCATTTTTATTGTTTTTTGAACCTGTCCAGAGGACCAGACTTAACTTTTTTAGATTTTTCTACCTGGATTATTGAGCATGCATCAGGATATCTGTGGAGAGAGTTTCTTACAGGTCTGAACATTCCTCACTGTACTGCAGACACCACACCGCACACATCAGCTTGGGTTTGTTCTGTCCTTGGGCTGGACCAGCCTTGGTCTGAGGGTCCTGTTGGGTTTAAAATGTTCTCCTGCAGTAAAGCTTGGAGCTCCACACACTAGACTTTTTTTTTTATTATAAAGCCTCCCAGATGGAAAGCAAAATGTCTTGAACTACAAAACAGAACTCTAGTTGTTTTGATTCTCAACATTTTTTTGATTACTTACCTAGGACATACCACATACTTTTCTGCTACCTAAAAGGTACAAACTGCAGGGCACACAGGACATTTACCTAGTACTAAAGTGGTATGTACCAGGTAAGTTTATGGTACAAACTTGATACATAGATACCTATTAAGTATCCCTTATAAGTACCAGGTGCATACTTGGTAAGTATGTACTCGGTAAGTGCAAGATTTGTCCTTGAAAAGTATCTAACTATCCTGTGAGTACATAGTACAAACTGGTCTGTATTATGCATTTTACAACCCTTTTCTTTAAATCACATTGCTGTTGTTTGAGGCTGTTTTGCATGCCGTTTACTATGTGTAGGGACATATTTTGCCTGTTTTTTGCTGTTGGATTTAATCTCTTCTTGGTCATTTAATGTTGTAATTCCATACTGTCTGGTTTTTAATTGGTCACAGGTTGTATTTCATTTGTTTTATTATTATATTTATTTTATTTCTCTTCTGCATCACTCATTTTTACTGACACTGTTGCATGACTTTGTGGTATTTTTGAAGTTGCTCAGCATATTCTTTCTTATGATTGTTATTCAGTTTTGTGTTGTAGATGTTTTACATTTTGTTACGGTTGCATCTCTGCAGCCGTTTGCTGGTTTTCATGGAATTATCTGGACATAAAAATTTAAGTACTGTATCTGAATATTTGTTCAGCTTCTGCTGTGTTAACATTATTAGATGTGGAGAAAAAAATGAAATGAATATTTGGATTGGGCACTTAAACACGTTTTACTATGCATTACTTTATGTTTTACTGTATATTTTATGAAAAAATTTTTAAACTTTGTATCCATAACGTATGTCACTGCAGTGAATAGTAATAACAAATACTGTATTCAGTTTCCAGTAAGTGAAAAGAAGGTTGAGCCCCGGATGTACCGACTTTCTTACGGAGCCCTTGAAGGCAGCATTCTGTCAGACGGTGACGTCACCTCACTGGTAGTCGGACAGCTGAAAGGCAGACTGAATTTTTGACGTTTTGTTTTGATCGCGTTTGTTTGGATTTCTGGACGATTCGACGACATTATCCTCTAATTTCGGAGCTCTGACGTCACGCCTCAGTGCGGGGATCCAGCAAAGATGAAATGGATGTTTAAGGAGGACCATTCTCTCGGTAAAACAAGAGAAAGGCTTCGGGTTGTTATGAAACAAGAGAGGATCTTCTTGTCGTGTCACGCAGCTTCCTTTTGCTTTATCACCCTTCATATGCGCAGTAATGCATGTCGTTCTCTTTTTATAGTCAACCTGCTGTAAACCCACACACAGAAATGTTGTATCTCCTGTTTAACTGCTTTATCATCGTTTGCAAAACAAATGAGTCAGCTGATTGGACACTGTCACCTATAATGATTTAAATGTTATAAAAGCCATTTTTAGTCAACTCAGCTTGGAATAATTTAATAAATGTACCTCAGCTGTTCTGTGTTGGCATCTTTAGGAAAATTTAGACTCATTAACTTAATTAAACTATAAATGTGTTATGACATCTGTATAAACTGAGTGTTTCCTGAATATTTAAATCCATTGGCTTAGAAGACTATTGAACAGACTTTTGTATAGTTTTCCTGATATTTCTGTTACTTAAAGGCACATAAAACAGCTTATTCTGAACTATATGAAATAGTGAAGTTTGAAAGAGTTTATTCCAGTAGTTTTCCAGATATAAGGATATGTAAATCTGAAATGCAGGTAAGCACTGAATGTAAACAAAGCAGTCAGCTGAATTCTCTGAAAGTCTTGTGTGCCTGAGTCATGTGACTGACTTGTACAGGTCATGGTCTGTAAACATGGCAGAATCGGACAAGCGAAGATGTCGTTTAGGTAGAAATTTAAGCGTGAACTTGCTGCCAAACGTCAACAAAAAGAGAAATATCGAGTAAAACAGCTGTTAGAAATAAATGTTGGGAATCAAGCGGGGAAAAAAAAACAGAGAATGGCATTTAAAGTTACGTGGCATTTGCAAAGAAAAGCTTACCATTTCAACCTAAACTATGTTTTTATTTGCATACTTTACTGAAGAAATCTGAACCTAAATAAACACTAAAATGTCTGACTTCTCCATGTTGACCTGTTTTCAATCACTTTGGCTGTTTTCATAAGGAAACAAATGCAGATCTTGGCATTAGGTCACAAATTCTGCCTTCCATTTATTAATTTAAGAACACGTTCACCATCGCTTTAGGACCAGTCTTCATGACATCGCATCGGGTACCTTTATAACTCAGCTTCTGTGTTGAAGCTCTCATCACATCCCAAAAGTAGGCCTCTTATCTGGGTTAATGAAAGCCTGCACCTAAATGGATCCAGCGCTCCACCTTCCCCCCCAAGGCCTCTGCTCATTTTCTGCCTGCTGCATGTGGTCCTGCCTGAATGCACCACGATGGCAGACAATGGGTTTAAAATCACTCCAAAGCAGCTGTTAGACATATAACCTGTTAATAAGCTGCTACTAAAACGGATAGTCCATGTTTAGCTCTGTGTTCTGTGTGAAAAGCTGCTGCAGCTGCTCTTGCTGTGCATTTATGGATCTCTGTATTGAACAAGGCCCCACTCATCCCTTTAATCTGACTTCCTGTTTGTTTGCTGTCCCTCCCTCAGAGCACCGATGTGTGGAGTCAGCCAAAATACGCAGCAAATACCCCGACAGAGTACCGGTGAGTAGTGGAGGAGCGGGGATCTTTGGCATTTGGGGGAACAAAATGGAGTGATGGAAAATCAAAAGATAAAGAGCAGAGTTGTTGTAGGGGATCGGAGGAGAAAACGGGAGTATTCAGTTTTATTTTACTCAAACTGATTGAAGTTTAAACAAAATAAAAACATATATATTTTTTGAGAACTCTTCAAATGGATTCATACCCATGTCTGTGTGTGTGTGTTTATGTCTACCCGTTAGCAAAATATCAGAAGACATGGATGGATTTTAATGAAACTTGCAGAAACGATAAATTGACAAACCTGCAGCCTAATTCAAGATGGCTTCCACAGCCAGCTAAACACCACAAAACTGGCTATAAATCAGCCAAATTTAAATATTTTTTTCTTCTTTTGGCTTCCTAAGGGGGTCGCCACACTGAACTAACTCGCATGAAGAATTGGCTTTTTAAAAATGTTTATGTCGGATGCCGTTCCTGACGCTACCACAGACCACTGAGCTACTGTGTGGAGCAGAGAGCTGCTATTTCGGGCGCCTGGGGGAGCAGATGGTGGGGGTTGAGGGCCTTGCTCAAGGGCCAGATGGAGGCAGGTGAAAATGTTTCCCACCTACATTTTGATTTTGTCAGTCTGGGGAGTTGAACTGGCAACTTTCCAATCACAGGCTCACCTTCTCTAACCGCAGCGCCACCACTCCCATATTCCAAATGAACAGATATTAAGCTAAAATTAGGTGTGGTCGTAGCTGAGACCGACTAACAACACATATTTAGAGTGCTAACTGATTTAAAATGAGTTTTGTTTTCAAAATGTTGCCATTAACTATGACTGTATGAGTCAACTCGGTCTGTTAGCAAAATATCTGATGAACCACTGGACGGATTCTAATAAAAATTTCAAGTAATAATCACTAGATGTACGTCTGCAACTGAATACTTTTTGGAGGCAATCCAATCCAAGATCACCACCATAGCCAACGCAAAGTAGAAAACATAAAAATAGCCATAGTTTGGTCAGTTTGATGGACAAAATGCAGGAATCTGGGTGGTAGTAGCTGAGAGTCAATCATAATACAAATTTAAGTGCTACTTATTGTAGCTCTGCTTAAAACTTTTATTCTTGCTATTAAGGTAACCTTTGTTTGTCTGTTAGCAAAATATCTTGACACATTCAGTGACATTTGAAAGGCAGAGGGCAATATGCATTCAGTCTACAGATGCCAGGCCTTAATTTGGACTAAATTAGGGGTTTCCCGATAGTTTTTCTTTTAACAGCCAACATTAGAAGTGATTCTTATTTATCGTCTTTACAGATCAGTTTCTAGTAGCGTTTGATGCAGCCGGACTCATTAATAACGTCATTTACAACAATAAAACCAAAGGAGCAAACATCCATAAAGCTGTAATCAGTTGGTTACTACAGGTGCTGCTAACTGCACAGAGTGAGCTGTCCTCTTGTTGCGTTTGCTCCAGGTGATCGTGGAGAAGGTCTCCGGCTCCCAGATCGTGGACATCGATAAGAGGAAGTACCTGGTGCCCTCTGACATCACGGTGGCTCAGTTCATGTGGATCATCAGAAAACGGATCCAGCTGCCTTCAGAGAAAGCCATCTTCCTCTTCGTCGACAAAACTGTCCCCCAGTCCAGGTGAGAGAGGCATGATACATGTCAAAAAAATACAATTTGTGACTGAAAATAGGAATTAACAAGGAGAGTGAAAACTCGTTTTGCTGAGTTCTTTGTTTACATTGAGTGCATGCCCGCATTTCAGAATTACCCATCAGTATATCTGAACAACTAAACTCTTTCAAACAGCACCGTCTGATACAGTTCTGAATAAACGTGTCGTTTTATGTTTGATTTTATGAGCAGGTGGTTTAGTTTGTTCTGAACATTTTGAGGCTTTTTCATAATCAAATCCAACTTTTGATTTAACTTCACACCGACGATGGAGAACTTCCTCATTACTCTGTGTGGCTGTGGTGTCATTGCACAACAGAGCAGCTCATTCATGTGCTCATCTGTAAACGGGAGAATACAAGGATTAATCCGAAGGTTCAAACTTTATATAACACTAGAAAACAACGACTACAAACAGCTGATTGTATTCCTGAACGTTTGTTTGCTAACACTTTGCTGCAGGCTACCTGCTGTCCGCTCTGAGTAAAGCATTTTTAGACTGAAAAGTAAATAAATCCTCTGGCGCTGCAGAAATAAGTCGCTGCACCCTCCCAGAGCCCAGCCTCTGCATAAGTTCACTGAAAGTGAAATTTGGACATGAAAAACTTCCATACAAAACAGAAAATACCATATTTTTATGTACACAAGAACATTTTGTGCACGGAGTCTGCAGCAGCTAAATGCACGTGATGAACTGATAACTTTATGAATTAAAGACAGTATGTTTAATAATTAATAGCAAAGTTTTAAAAAACAGACCTCGCTGCAGTATTAGCGCTCACAGTGTAAGCTGTAAATACAACTCAGCTTCTAACAAACCAAATCTATTGTTAATTCAGATATTTTGCTAACACAACAGTGTTGCTTAATGCGCCTTATAGTCGGAAAAATACAGTATATAAATTAAAATAATAGAAGTAAAATCCCCCCCGTTTGTCTTATGTAGGTCACAAAATATTTATTTATGAAGTGTATTTTGGAATCAACATGAAAATTCTGTATCCCTAAAATAAAATAATGTTTTTTTTTTTAAAGAATGTATTATTTGACAGCAGTGCTTAAAATCACAAAAGGTGCAGTAAAATGTTCAAATCCAGGTTTCTTGTGTGTTTTTCCCCTCAATTTAAGAAAAGGGACGATTGATTGACTTTGCTTTGTGAGAGATAAATCTCTCATTCAGAGAGGATTAGGTCACGCCTTCATTTTCAAATTACACACATCCCAAATCAAATAACCTTTTTCTACCGAGGCTTATTATTATTATTAATATGTTGGGTGTCAGACGTGCCATTGAATTTTATGTAAACAGTGTCACTTCACCTTCAGCACACAAGCATTCAGCGTGCCCGCCGTTATTATCCAGGTCTCGTTTGCTCGAAGCTCAATGATGTAATCAGCTGAGAGTGAGTTTTCAATGTCACAAAGGAGGAACAGAACAATGAACGAATAATTTGATCCACAGCAACTTCTGTGAGAAAACCGTCACCTGTTCACTCATTGCTTTTCTTCAACTGTCCCAGATTGAAAATTTAAATCGAATGCATATCACCCACTGCTTTTCATGCCAAAAAGACAAAAAAAAAACGCTTTTTGTTTTGAGCAATGAGTGTTTCCAGAGATATTTTGCTAACAGCCAAACAGGGTTGACTTCAACACTTAATGCTAAACATCAAAGTTCATGCTCAATAATCCAGGTAGAAGATCCAACAAAGTTCAGTCAGGTCATCTGAATGTTTTTTTTTCTTTTAAAAGACATTTCATCCTTCATCCAAAGGACTTCATCAGTCACCCCACCAAACTGAGTCCCACAAGCACCACACTCACATAGTGGACCAACCAGTTTGCTGGTTTCTGGAGTCTGCCCTCATCTTATCTTATCACCAGCAAACTGGTTGGTCCACTACGTGGGAGTGCTACTTGTGGGACTCAGTTTGTTGGGGCTCCTCGGACTGATGAAGTACTTTGGATGAAGGATGAAATGTCTCAACAACAACAACAAAAAGAAACCGTCCAGATGACCTGACTGAACTTTGTTGGACTTAATGCAAAAGTTTTGCTAAAGTTTTGCAAATGTCTCTAAGCTACTACCACAACAACATTTAGCAGAATATCTGTTAAACTTATTGAATTATAACCATTTTTGTGATGGCTAATGTTGATTAGCTATGGCAGCCATCTTGAAGCGTGTTCGCTGCTAAATGAATATCTAATGCTGGTTTCCTGAAAGTTTCATTAAAATCTGTCCAGTGGTTCATGAGATATTTCTTGTAACTGATACACTGACAAACACACAGACAAAAACATTATCGCCCATCTTCACCTTTCAGCAGCGGGCAATAACAACATAAATGTAACTAATTTTATCGAATGTCCTGATTGACGTTGAATAAATGTGAGTTTGTAAAACTGAAACTAACAATTCCTCTGTCACTTGGAAGAGAAAGTTTAGATTTTTTTGAGGTACGGTTACATGGAGTAGTTATGAACAGTCAGGATTGAACCTGCAGACGTCGGAGAGATTTACGTTTTTAAAACCATGAAGACGTTTTACTGAAAAGCTGAGCTAACAGCAACTCGGAGTGTTCTCGTTTAGGAGCGAATTTCCGCCAGCTCAAACAAGAAATGTCAAACTTTCCCAACGGATCAAGCAAACACTGAAATGAATAGTTCATTTTTACGCCTTGCCACTTTAGCAAGAGGCAAATGTTTACTTTGTCATGTTTTGTCTCGTCCGTGTTGCTACGCCTCGTAGAACTGAAGCAGCCGGATGTAAAAACACGTACAGACGACAGCAAAAACTGAATGTTTACAGAAGTGATGACGACGTGTCTTTTTATGAGGAGATAAGAGGATTATCTGCACGAGTACACAAAAGAAAACTTTCTTTTAGAAACACAGACCAACTGATACCAAATTTTAGCTCAATATCTGTAAATCTGTTATAGCTATTTTGGTTTTTGCTAAGTTTGCTTAGTTGTGGCAGCCATCTTGAATTGGGTTCAATAAGGCACAGTACACGGAGAGGTGTATTGTACCCCCTTTGAGACAAAATTGCTATTTCCACCCCTGCAGTTGGTTCTTTAAACTCCGGCTCAGTGGAGCAAATACAGCATCTGCTCTTCATTTTTCAGCTTAAAGATTTATCACTACCAGCAATAAAACAAAAGCATGTGTTGTTTATTGTGTTTTTACTTTCTTAGTTACAAACAGAAAAATAAAATACTGAAAACTATTGCTACGTTATACTCCCCACCCACCTCCAACATTAAGTTGATTCATTCCAACGTTAGCTCCACTGGTAGCTGCTGCCTCGCTACTAAAACTACGCCGCGTCTTTTACAGGTTTTGAACCCATCCTTCCATCCTTCCATCCATCCATCCATCCATCCATCCATCCATCCATCCATCCA